GTGAGGAAGCGCCAGCCGGTGACGAGAGGCGCACGAGGGGGGGCAAGGCCAACGACACAAACGCAAAAATTAAAAAAAGAGCAGCAAACTCAAAAGCAAAAACAAAAAACAAAAAAAACAGGAACAGGAACCAAACGACATCAAAACCCACACCCGATGGGAGAAAGGGGGAGGGGGAAGAGATGTATATAAAGTAGCTGGAGGCGCCGCACACAAATCCATCCAAGGAAAATGTCAGGGAAAATTGAGAAGAAAAAACAAGAGTGAGCACTCCCATCCCAAGCAAACAGACAAACAAACGGAGGCTGATGGAAATACCCAAATATCACACTCACGGATAGACGTAATGGGGTGTTCAAAACTCTAAGCACCGTTATCAGCCCTCCTCTCTTTCTCGCTCCCATTGACACCGCTTTGGTTTCCCCTGAATTCTGGCGTAGTTCTATTCATCCGTGTGTCCCTACACAGGGCACAGGTACACAGAATGTACACAGGGCACAGGTACACAGAATGAGCTCTTGAAAAAGTGAAAACGTGCATCAGGAGCCTTCAGCCCGTCCCGTAAATAAAGATATATATATATAACCATATGGATATATAATGTGTGTATATATATATATATTTGTATATGTATATATGTATGTATTTATGTACATCTATTCGTTCTCCCCCTCTCTTTCTCTGTCATTTATTATGTACATTCCTCTCACCACACACACACACACCAACGCAGTTCATGTTTTTAACTGCAAACACGTGTCCTCGTAGTTATGATTTACTTCTGCTGTTGCCGTTTTTTTTTTTAGGAGCAACAGGATGAGAAAAACGTCATCAAAATTGTGAATATTACAGCATTGGCGCGTGGCCGTACTGCATTATTATACAGATATCCTTACAACGTCCATCTCTTTGTTGTTGTTTGCTTGTTTTTCAACCTTGCTTGTGTTTTTTTACACACACACACACACCCTTGTTAAGTCGCACACACACACAAAAAAAAAAAAAACACGCGTCCATTCAATTCCATATATATATAAGACCGTAAGAACAAATACATTACAAATAAGTATAGATGCAGCGATGTGTGTTTCATTCTCTCATGCATTACTTCTCCTCCTCCTCCTGCGAACCCGATCCATGCGGCACCCAGACAATGGGGAAACATGCAAACAAGACCAAACAAAGAGGTAAAAAGAAAGAAAAAACATACAGAAAACAAAAAAAAACGCTCTTTTTTTTTAAATGTGTTTCTCGTTTTCTTGCGGTTTTCTCTAACATTCTCTTCGCGTGGGGGTAATTTATATGCATATATATATATATATATATATATATATATATGGATGAAGATGTATGTATATACAGATATATAGTGTAGATATTAGATACATAGATATAGACATATATGTGCACGGAGACACTGACATTATACGCTAAGAGCGGGGGAATAAAGCAAAAGCAAAAGCATAAAAACACGAAAACATTCAATAAGCAAACCGCATGCGCACACACAACAAACAACAAAAAAAAACACACACACAGAAGGAACAAAAAAAAAAAGTACATGCAAAACAAAGCAAAAAAAAAGGAAAAGAGAGAAAAGTAGAACCCTGGTACTAACTTCCTCATATATATATATATATATACATACATACACGATGTATTCTGTTCCATTTTCAATTCCCTCATCCACGCATTCATGACGTTCTTTTTTTAAAGAAATTTTTTTTGCCACTCTTCTTCTACTCTGGCTGCTTCTGTTTTTGGTTCCACTTAAGGGCAACTTATGAAGTACCACGTTCATCGCGTTACCGTCGCATGTATCTGTATCACTGACAACCCCCCTTTCTTTCTACCTGTGTGTTGTTGTTGCCTTCTCTTTTTCTGTTTCCTTAGCTTGGGTTGCATCTTACGCGGCAGTCTCCTGCAGCGACTCTGTCTATTTTCCCCGCACTGCAGAGGCGGTAACTTCACCTTACGGGGGCTGTGAAAAGCGCGGCGGACACCGCAGTGACAAGGATGACGTATTATGGTCGTGTCGTGTATGATCGCCCCACCACCACCCACCCGTCACGTGCCGTCCCAGCTGCTATACACAATACACACATATACGGGTTACCGCATTCGCGTTTCCCCTTTGCTGCTTCTTTGCCCTTTTGATGTGCTTCGTTGATGGCGATGGTGCCTCTTGAAAAGTAACAGCAGCGTTCATGACAAGCCCCTTCTCCTTTTATGTGGTTGTTGGAGAGAAACCATCAGCCATTTTACTCTGTGCAGATATATATATATATATCCGAACCTCCCACACGCTGCGCACACGCGCCTTCTCATGATTCCCCACACACTGACCGTAGGCATATCACAGTTCCGTGAAGAGATACACACGCACACAATTATTTATCTTGTTATACATTATATATATATATATATAACATACATAATATTATGAGTAAATGAATATATATATTTGGCGCTGCTTACTCTTGCACTCGTCAGCCCAAGAAAATGATCCCCCTTTTTCTGCACGTCCCCCCACACACCCCGCGCATAGCTATGCGCGGGGTGTGTGGGGGAGACGAGGTGCAGAGGGCAAACCAGAGAGATAAAGGGAGGAAGGGAGGAAGGGAGGAAAGCCAGAGAGATCAGCGAACTCAGCTGCAACCACAAACGAAAAAAGGTTAAAACAAAAAAAAAGCAAAGCAGAGCGCAAAGGGACACAAAAAGAAAGAGAGATGCCAAGGAAGAAGGTAGAAAAACACGCACCATTTCAAAGAAGCTTTCTAGGCCACAGTTTTTCTTTTTTATCACCCAGTGGGAGGGGAAGGGGGTATTTCCCCTCTCAATGCACACCACGATCCTCTTGGAAATTGCTTGGATAAACTAGCCACAGTCCTGCCGCCGTAGCGTTGGCGCACGACTTCCAGCGCATACTTGTGAGCCATGGAGCGAAGCTGTACCACTTTCCGCCGCGGCGCCAACAATTTCCAGGCTGTGTACAATTCCTTGCCCGTCCCTGCGAATTTCACATCCTTATCAGATGAGCACGCTTCGTTCAACTGTTTCTGTGTCACGTTCTTTTGGGGCGTCGCTGCCGCTGACTCACATGCGGCAATGACACCAGGACCCATGACCGTGGTACTAGCTGTTGATGGTCGCGGTTTGCTAGGGTCATTCAGGTAATCACAGCCATCGTCCTTCTCTTGATCGGATTCCACGACAAAGGCAGAATGCCCCACACTCTTTTCATCATCGCATCGTAACGGTGAGGAAGAAAGAGAAGAGAGCATTGATGACGTGAGTCCCAAACGGGAAAGGACAGACCCGAATACCACAGATTTAGGGGCGTGGGTGGCGATGGTCCCAGCGGTGGTGGTGGTGGTAACATTGATGGATTCTAAGCACACGACTGCGAGGTCGCTCACACACAACCCCGTAGTTGGCGTGTCACCATGCAAACCATGTTCACGGTAGCTTGTGCCATGATCTGAAGACACACATGTGTTCGGTGTTCCTTTCATCTTATCAGGCATGTCAGCCACGTCATCAATCTGCTGGTGCGAACAGTTCTCCATCCCATCCTCACCAGCAAGCGGGGAACGCATCCATGAAAATGCGGCTCGTCCTGTGAGATCATCTGCGAAGTCTAAAACGTCTAGCCCCGCACTGGAGGCAGTTTGACAGTGTTCATTGTTTGAGTGGCAGTGGGCCATCGCACTCAGACGCCTTCCTTTCTACTGGCAAGGAATGTGCCTCGAAGAAGAATGCGTCAACGAATATGAAGAACAACCACACAGGCAGATCCAGAAATAAAATTAAAAAGAGGGGGACAGCGCCAAACACCAATCGCCATCACCACGGCGCAAACAGCAAAATAGATAAGTGGAGTCACGTTGCCTCTGCGGGACCCTTCCCAGCCAACATCCGTCCTTCGTAAGCTACCGAGAGTCATTACCAGAGTAGTATTAAATGACAAAAATGAGAACAAAAAAAAAGGGGGGGCACGAACAGACAGAATCAAGTATAAAGCTATGCCCCAGCAGAATTATATATATATATGTATATATATATATATATGAGACGATGATAATTGAATGATGAATGCATATAGTTATACAGTTATATAGCAAAATACAAGGGAAAAACAAAAACAAAAAATGGTCGTTCCTGTATCGCTTGAAATAAAGGAAGGTAGCAAATAATAATAATAAACAAAGAAGGGTCAGAGTACAAGAAAGAGGTTTGGTAATACATAGTTATATATCATATATATATCATATATATATATAGGGAAAGAAAGCAGGATAAAAATAAATTTACTAAAAAAAAGGTATAAAGAAAAAAAGGGGGGACGTGAATGTGCATCCCCGACCGTGTGCATTCCGTCCTTTTCTAATCTCCTCCAGAGGGACGCAACGCGGATATAAGTAGGTACATATAATGATGTAAAGATTGATATGTAGACGTGTCTTCAGTAGATAAATAGGTATGCATAAGTGTGTATATGTATATATAGAGTCAACAAAGGCAGAGGTATACCAGGCGTGGGTGACGCCCACGAGCTCTCCGACTGCGCCCCTGCTCTGCCGCAGTGACATCGTCCCACCCACCCCTACCGTAGGGAAGACAGTCAGACGCAGAGTCCTCATCAGGGAAACAAACCAGGCGCAAGAAAGACTCAACTCTTAATACAGAAAAAAAATAGACTATTAGCTCACACACATATAAAGAAGGCCTAGTAAAAATGCAAAGTGATATACATTTTTTTTTTCATGGTTAGAAAAAAACGCATGCACGCACACACATTAAAAGGATGGTGGAAGCCAGCCGTAGACTCTTCTCGTGGTTGGCTTCCCCTCAGGCAGCCATATATATATATATATATATATATAAACACCAGGACGGGGAAGGCGTTTTCATTGACTCCAAGAGCAGCATCACCAGAATGAAACCGCAAAACAAAACAAAAAAAAAGTAAAACAATGTCGTAATGAATCCAGAGACGCACTACATTATGTAGATTTGACAATACATACACACATATCCATGCAAATATATAATAAATAAACGCCCTAGTACGCAAAAAAGGGGGTGAGATGGAAGGGAGAAAAGGAAGCAAAAAAAAAAAGAATCAAATAAAAATAAGAGTTTGCATAGAAAAAGTAGTCTCACAACAAGAAATGTGTTTATGACTGACGTTGTCACAGAGTCAATGTTCTCACGCATTACCTCCGTGGAGCGTTACGAAAATAGCATCCTTTCATGGAGCAGAAGGACGCAATAATATCCGTCAGTGTTATTTCCTATTTAGACCTGAAAGTCTATACACTTTAATGTCAATACCCCACCACCACCACCAGACATTTTGTCCCTCATTTCATAATGTGACGTGACGAGCCAACCCTGTGTATTCCTCCGTACCCGCTTCTTTTTTTTATTTTGCACGTGTTCTGTTCTGCTGTGTTATACACAGTCCCTTTACTACTCCGCTCTCTGTCGTGTTGGCCGTCGTTTTTGTCCTCGTCGTTCGCATCCATTTCAATTCGCGCTTCACTTAACTCCCTCCCTCTCGCTCTCTCCATCTATCCACCCTCCCTTTCTTCAGTTACCTTCCACTTTTCATTGTTCAATAATAACCTGTTCCCCCCCCCCTCCTTGCAGCGCGACTCTCACGTACAGACACCTGCAAACGGGTTGATACCGAAACGGGGAGGAAACGAACGCATGTGGAGGTGTTGGGCTGAGCGCACAAACATATATATGAGAAAGAGAGAAACCTGCATGCACCCAAAATAAAATAATAGCAATAAATAATTTGACCTCAAACCGGTAAAGCCCGTCAGACTATATTCAAATAAAAAATGAGCACAAAGCCACACAAAAACAAAAACCAATAGCAAGACACGTTCTGTCCTCGCCGTTGTTGTTCTCATTGTGGTTGGTTCTTGAAAGACAATGCGATCATTATCACAGTGTCCCAGCATTATACTTTTTTTCCCCTCATTTCACCTTTTTTCCTCTTTCTTTTCCTTCTTTCTTCCCCTCATTATTTCCCGTTCGCGAACGGCGTATCCTGGTCGGGTACTCGTGGCCTTTCCACGTGTGCCACATTTCCTTTCAACCAACGTCTGAGAGAAGTCAGAGGAGAAGACTACAAAGGAAAGAAATGTAGAAGAATCGTGCTTCTCAATCCCGCCATTTTCAAAAAAGGAAGGCGATGAACACAACAAGCGCCAATTCCTCCCACCGTACCAAGCAGAGAAAAAAAAAGTGAAAGAACAAAAAAAAAAAAAGGATGGGGGGGGGGGGGGGCAGACGCCTCAAGATAAAATAATAAATTACCATCACTTCATCAGATGTACAAATGAAAAGGAGAGAAACATTCCCACATGCAGAAGTACTGAAGACCGTCGCACCTCCGTAAATAAAAAAGTGTTACTAACAATAAGTACTTTCTTTCTCTCGCATGTTCGTTGTTTTTTAACTTTTATTTCCTTAAACAAGTACGTGGACAAAAACGTCAGCCAGAAAGGTGGTTAAAAAAAAAAAAAAACAGAGCAGGAAAACACACCAAAAACAAAGAAAAAAACTAACTAGGAATAAGAGAAAGGTAAGCAAAAGGGAAGTAATATTCAGAAAAAAAATTGCGCTTGGGATAAGATGCGAGAATGAGATGCGAGAGGGTGAAGGAGGCCACTAGTAAAAAAAAAAAAAAAAATCGAAACAAAAAAACAATGGATAAAAAACAAAAGGAAAAAGCTTAAACCCTCACCCCAAAAAGAAAAAAAAAATTAGGTTGTACCAAAAATAAGACAGCACTAAATTTTGGGTTGCGTAAAATGTTCTTTGAGCTGGTGCCGAACCGACGCTAAAGATGCCCTGTGTGCTTCACGGCGGAGAGCAAAGTAGGACTCTGAATCCAAAGACTTTTGGAGTAACCTCCTCCCTTCGAGCTCATTTCGCGGAGGCTCCCTCATGTGGCTCCAGTTTGCATCAAGCGATGTACCCCTCGCTGCCTCTCGCTTAGTCCGGGCTTCGTCGGAAGGGAGGGTACCTGTGGTTTTGGACTTCGCCACCGTTGTTACTTTTCCTGGCACCTCCACGTATGTATCACGCTGGGCAGCACCAGCAGCACTATTAACCAAATCACTATTGCTATTAGCGGACTGGGACTGCAACTCAGGTTGGTGACCCCGTAGCTTGAGCAACTGTACAGGAGGCAAGGACGGTGTAATGCTATGCCCTGTGTCACAGAGGTGCTGTTTTTGCATTGGACGCTCCAGCGAATTGACGCCGTTTGTCGCCCACCAATGGTCAAAAAAGGAGCAGACGAATAAATATGGCGAATAAGTGATGGCGCCTTCCAGCGCACACACTGATCGTGTTTCTGCACAGTGAGAAGTCTGAGAAGAGATTGCTCTTGCGGGCAGCGGCAATGTTTCAGTCCACCCGACGTTCTCTGAGATTCGTAAAGGGTATGAATGCCAAAAGGAAGATGATGAAGGCGATAGGTCGTGCTCACGTTCCCTGTCGTCACTGCCATTGTGTACATGAGTAAGGGTTTTCGCCTCATCCTTAAGGGGAAGCAATGAAAATCGGCCTTCACTGGGCCCAAAGGTCTCACATTCGCCGAAAGACACAGAGTCATTCAACACCGAGAGAATTCCCTGGTCAAAGTACTCCGGAACGATTATTTCAGAAGGTGCCTCATTGTATTGCGATGCATTTATCCCTCCCCTGGTTTGCTGAGCTGATACGTTAGTCCTTGTACATGAAGACGCATTCGGCAGCTGTGTAGATGAAAAAGCGGAATGCTTGTCAAACGCATTGGTGTAGCTGGCGTTGGACGGTACAGTGCAATCGATGAAGCATCTGTTATCAGACATTAATGGCACCTGCTTCCAAAGCTTCAACAAATAAAAGTGCTTCTTGAAATAACGCTTCCTTTAAGAAACCTCAAGGTCCACACACCGGCAGGTTCCTACCCAAATTCCTTTTTTTTTGTCACTTTTACTCCTTTCTTCTTTCTTTAAACTCAGTTAGTTCTTTAAATTTGTGTAATACTCACCAAATAAATAAATAACAGGCCCTAACAACAACAACAACTTAAAGAGCTCGTATTTTGCGTATTACAATTATGAGCTTTTTTCCGCAGATATATTATCCCCTTTTGCCCAAATATCCTGAGTGTAATGTCCTTTCTTCAAATATTGTTTCCCTCTTTTTATCCGTGTTAGTACCAAGCAAAAAAAGCAAAAACCTAACAAAAAGAAGGGAAAACAAGAAAATGTTATAATGGCAAACAAAATTTACGATAAGAGGAAAGGAAAGAAAAAGGGTTAGATCAACCCGTAACGACTCATCATGAAATCATTTGACAGGGGAAAATTCAAAACTGTACGGTGACGCTTCGCATTTCGTGTCACCATCGCACCATATCCAAGAACTTTAAAAGTCAAATAATAAAATTAAAAGACCCCAACGCGGCACGATGTAGCAAACGCCCCAGTTCTACAGAAGCAATGCCACTTTCCAGAAAACACAACTTCAAAAAAAAAAAAGTACTCGTGTCCCTTTTCTTCCCCCAAAGAAATCTGTGACGACGCCTTTATCCACCAAAACTATGAACCTATTTATGAGAGAATTCTGTCTTCGCCACAAAACTCACTGCACTGTACAGTATATAGTATGAACTGGTATTGATATTTGTTTATTTTATTCTTTTAATGACGTTTCGCTCAATACTTAGCGGCCTCATATGCAAGGTTTTAAAAAACAAGCAAAGCAACTTACTGTGACCTAAAAAAAAAAAAAATGGGACAATAAAAGGAAATAGAAAGAAAGAAAAGGGAAATAAAAATATAAGCATCTTTACATGCCTATAAAGCAGAGCAAAATAACAGCGCATGCGCCAGCAGTCCATGCTTTATTCAGAAGCGGAATGTGGTATTCATACAGGCAATTTCTAAATGGAGTTCATCCGGGAAAAGAAAAGGCAGAAAAAGTATCATTATCAGTTCGTCGCTTGGAAAAAGTCGTATCACCTATAAACTGTTCCCTGTAAGTGTCCCACCCATCCCAGCAAAAAAAAAATATAATAAAAGGAAAGGAAACATTAATAAAAGGCAAGGATATATAAAAATATAATGCAGTGGCATGCTCAAAATGCCGCACTCTCGCTGATATGCAACTCCGTTCCCCTTGACAATTTTTGTCTAGACCTTTGTCCAGGCAAGTTTTCATAGGGCAAAGGGAGATTTCGTTGTTGCTGCTGACGGTTCATTATTGACGTAACCTCCTCTAAACGTCTTGCGATTTGACCCAGCGTTTTGGTGTAAAGTGGGTTTAAACTCTTTTTGCGTGCAACCCTTTGCACGGCACCAAGATTGCGTGAACAAAACCCAGAGGATACAATAGTTGGCTTAAAAAAACCGGTCATAAGCGCCACAGTGTCAATACTGTTTATAGATGTATCGTACCCTTTTCCTTCTTCTAATTCACTGATCTTCTTCTCCATCTGATAAACACTTTGCTCCTTCATCAGCAGCCATCTCTCACTATCGCGAAGAATGGCTTCGTCGTGCTCGAGACCCCTTGCTTGATTCTCCAATGTCAGACGAATGTTGTTGAGTAATCGTCCTCGTTTAGAACAAGCCCGAATACCTTCCTCTTTCGCAGCTCTCACATCCTGCTTCCATTGGTGTTTAGCTAGCTTCAGCTGGTATCGTCGCTCCTCCAAACTAAGGCGCTGCCTATCCACAAATCTTCTCCCTTCAGCAACTCGTTGGTGCTCTCCTGCAAGAAGTAATTTTTGCTCCTGAAACGAAACAGGAAATCCATCAATATCCTTTTGTGAGTTTATTGTTTTTACCTCAGTTTCACATGGAATCGATACGGACGCTGCATTACTGCATGGTTTGTCATTGGTCTGTTGCACGCCTCCAGAAACAGTGGCACAAGTAGAAACCGCAGCAGCACTGCCAGACGTCGGAGCTGGAAGAATAAACGGTGAACCGGCAAACACTGTACGAAGCGCCTCTATGAGAACAGCGGTAAGATTGTCCTTCTGTGTATTATCTGATAAAGCGATGGTAAAACGCTCCTTCTCCAATTCCTTCTCCGGCTTCAGATCGGGAGAAACATTTCCATTACCTTGGAGGGAGAATACCTCATCCTTGTCTTCACATGAAGGTTCAAGACGTAGATGGCGCCTTTCCCGCCAAACCTCATCCAAGGTTGCTTTCAGCTCCTCCTCTGCACGTTGCTTAAGGTCTCTCTTAACATCCTCCAGTTCTTTTCTTTGAGCTTCTTTCATATCTGCAACAACAGACTCAAATAACTCTTTCTCTGATCGAACTCCTACTGTATCTTTTTCAACTTGATCACGATCCCCCTTATTTGTCGGAATGCAGTCTCCTTTTTGCTCTATTAGCCTCTCTCTATTAGGGTATTGCTGGCAATCTTGCGTTTTCCACTGCGCCGCACACGTTACACAATGCCCCAAAGCCGAATTATCCGATAGTGTGCTTCGTCTGTTTGTTAGCGCCTCACGTTCCTTCTCGTACTTTTCCTTTTCTTGCAATAACAATTCGTATTCTCTTTGATATAGCCCGATCTGCCCCAAAAATTTCTGCCGCATATCTTCTATTTCTGATTTAAACGAGTCTTTGATAATGTTCAGTTCACTATCGTAAGATTCCCTGGCACTACCTATTAGTTTAGATAGTGCCACTTCGCTTAGTTTTGATAAACTTGCGTTGGTACTTGTCAGGTTGTCAAGAAATGCGTCTTGGGCTTTCTTGTATGTGTCAACAAAGCTCAAAGCAGCTTCCCCGAGTTCATCTGCACCTTGCTTTAATTCCATTAGAGCTTGGGGGTTTGCATCACGCAGTCTATCGAACTCCAGAATTTTGCTTTTCCTCAAATCCTCCAATTTTTCTTGCCATTCATTTTCAATATTATTTTTTTCCCTTTTATACTTTTCGTTCAAAGAGTGGCGTATTCGTTTTGTCTCCAATTTCAAATCAGCTTCAACCTCCTCGGTGAGTTTCCGAATATTATCAGTATACGTATTTTCTATTATATTTTTTTCTTCAATTAACTTCCTTTCTAAGTCATCTCTGTAACTAATTAACTTTTTTTCATATTCTTCACTTTGCCGTTTCTGATATCGGTGCCATGACTCCTTCAGTTTCATCTCATACTCATCTATTGCCGCTCGATGTTCTTTCAGTTTTTCATCTTGAAACTGTTTTAACTTATCATTAAGATCCGCTTGAAAAACCTCTTTTTCAGAACTCAAGCATCCGCCTGATGTTTCACTGGATACACTTTCTCTAGTATGTTTTAGGATAGAGCAACCTTTACCTCCCTTTATTTTCCCCAATGCAATGGGTTCTAAGCAACGCTCACTAGTATCAGAACTAGAGATGCCTCCTGCCTTTGGGTTCAAACGAAGATCACTTGGAAGTTCCTTCTTTAACTTGAGCGTTCTCAACTCTCGAATCGTTGATTTTCCTCCTGAGGAATACACGCAAGCTTCCGTGGGTTCGTTTTGTTCCACGACGGCTTCTCCTTCTGTATTGACCTCCATGTGCTGCCTTTTCGCCCCATTGGCAATACTTTGCAGACTAGGACTCAGTTTTTCGCTTTTAAGTAGCTCTCTGAATTGCTCGTCCAGTGGATGATCCCAGTTGCTCTCACCACTCTTGAAATTGAAGTAGTACAACTCACCTTTTTCACTTCTGCAGGCCTTCCAGTGCTCTGGTAAGGGAGCTTTCAAACCTTCGCGTGCAATCCAAAGAAAAGGCTTGTCCTCAGGGAAATGCATGCCAAGCCACTTCCCGTATTCAACAATTTCCGCTTCAGATGGCTCATAGTTATCATTTGGTACAGAATCTAAAACCACGGACATTAAATATGAATGATAGCTTTGTGAATAGCAAATCTATTCCACTATCGCCGTTATGTAGTAACACATTTTAGAAAACAAATAATGAATAAATAACGGCAACAGCATACAGGTGTAAAGACGTAAAGAAACAGAAGATCTGGGAAGTCATCACCATGGTTCAAATAAACATCCAATTAAAATCCCATATTAGGAATAACATTAAAACAGGGCAGTAACAAATTGATTCTCAATTATTTGTTATTATTATTATTATACCCCCTTGATTACCAAGGTGAAAAAAAAACCTAGCATCCTTTGTAAAAAGAAAACACTTTTTAACGCCCATCCGCCACCACACCCCGCCCCACCTCACCCTCACACCAGGAGCCTCTCAGCCCTCTGAAAACAACACCGTTTGTGCCCGTGGCTGCCGAGCCAGCCAGCCACAACAAGACCCCCAACCCGCCGCCCCATCACTTCTAGCCCATCGAGATGGCGCACTGGAGGCGCGACTCGGCGTGGGCGCGTCAGCGGCCAACGAGCCACCTTAACTATAATTCTTGTGGTGGGCCGGCGGCCCGCTGCTAGGTGTTTTTGTTCGTTTCCATCCCCCGAAACAGACGGCCCCGGCGGCTCTCGCTCCCTGCGGGAAGGCCCTGCCACCACCGAAAACAAGTATACAAAATGAATTTCTTTTTTTAG